GCGCGCCCTTCCCCTCCTGCCAGGACGGGCTGGTGTCACACCAGGCAACCGGAGGGTCTTTCTAAATCCATGTCTGGAAGGAAGAGGCTGGAGGGGGGGGAGAAGGTCTGTCCCAGCTGGAGGGGGTCGGGGGTCCCACCGGCTCAGCTATGGGGAGCTGTTCAAGACCATCTCACTTCTCTCCTTCCTTTTCTCCTCTCTCCTCCCCCAGGTACTAGTGAATATCGGACTCAACTTTGATTCGGAGCGGAGCACTTTCATAGCACCCCGAAAAGGCATCTACAGCTTCAATTTTCACGTGGTGAAGGTGTACAACCGGCAGACCATCCAGGTCAGAGAGGGCTGGGATTCGGAGGAGCTGGGCCACTGGGATGTGGGGAGGGGGGGGCAGAGCTAGCCAATCTTTCCTTTTTGAGGCCCGGATAGGACGACTAGGTTTGCCCCCCCCAAAAAACCTCCAGCCAACTCTGATGGGATGGTTGGCTGTGAAAGAGACACAATCCGAACATAAGAAAAAGAAACCCAATGAAACTCCCAGAGACTTATTTCTAATCTTTTGTGGGTTTGGATGACACAAACCCCCTTGAATTCAGTGGGGCTTATTTCTCGGTCAACATTCATTAAGATCGAGGCCTCTTGACACCCCACTCCCCAACTGCTGAAGCCCTAGTGCTGCATTTTCTCTCCCCCCACCCCAACGAGCAACTTTCCTTCTGCCTTTATACAGGCAGAACCAAATAAAATGGTAAAGAACTGGTCATTTAGCCCCCCCTTACAAAATCAAGAATTTAGGAGTCGTGGGCATGAGAACACCGACATCTGCCTTATCCTGTGTCTGACCGCTGATTCATCTAGACATTGACTAGCAGCAGGTTTTCAGGGATAAACAGAGGAAGTTTTCCAGCTCTGTCTAGGAATACTGAGGAATGAGCCGAGACCTGCTCCGGGCAGAAGGAGGGCTCTGTCAGACGGTTACAGCTCTTCTTTCAAAGCCCTTGGCAATCAGGCTGTACGTGTCTGTCCTGCGGAGCTTTAAAAACCCATCTTCCGAAAATACTTTATTGTTCTTTCCAGGCCTTCTTATCCAGGCCTCTTTGTCTTCATTTTCTTTAACCCCTTGAACAGGGAATTCTCCCAGCGTGAAATCCTTTAGGAGGTTTCCAAGCAGAGCATTTAAGATCAGCAGACAATTAAACCTGCTCTCCTGCCTTCTCACTTGCCTTGGGAGGGGGGAGCGCTGGATTTCAGTCCCTCCAACCTTCATGCCACCCAGCCTGTGATCCAATGCCATTTACCTCCAAGTAAACCCCACTGAACAAAGTTGGCATTGATTCCAAGCAAACTGATGGGGATGGACATGAACTGGACATCTAGGCTGTAGAGAGATTATGTTTGCTTAGATATTGCCCATTTCCATTTCCCATGGAAATCTACACCAAGTGTTACAGCCTATCCCACCCTCTAACTGCTGCCCCCCAAATCACCATAACTTCCCTTTGGCATAAACTTCATCTATAGCATGCATTCCCATGTGGAATTAATATTTTTTTGACGCCTCTGCCTATCTGAGTGTAAGATAAGATCTGTAACATTCTTAACATCCCAAGCGGCTTAAATAGAAGGCACTCAACCCCTTTCTAGTAAGGAGGGAGATTATAGTAACTGCAGTCTTGTGCGTGCCCAGTCAGAATTAAGTCTCTGTGTGCACAGGATTGCAATATAAATCCAGTAAAATAAAACTAACCTGGGTAGAGATGAAGATGAATGCATGAAGAATGGTTGCTTTGTTCCATTGGATCCCAAGAGTGTAGTACATTTCCTACTGTTGAAGCATCACTTTGTGCATTTCTCATAGTCCTGCACAACTACACATTTCTTTACTTCTTTCTCTGGGCTTGATGAAGTATTTGTGACGGGGTACCCCTAGCTTTGCAGTCTGCATATGCCTTAAAGCTTGCATTAAGTCAGTTTTATTATCAGAAAAGAGGAGAGTAGCCGGAGAAGAATGGAGACCCTCTCTCTTAACTGGCTTGGGAATAGCCTGCAAGGTTATGGCACCTTTCTTCATAGGCAGTTTGGGGATATCAGAGTAGAGTGAGGGTTTATGATCCTTGGAAATATCTTTCCGGAGATGGAACCAAAAAACACAGTTCTTGCAGGGAGGCAGGAGGAGGAATTTACAGGTTGGCTTGGTGTTCTTTCCGGCTTGTTAGTACTCCCTTTCTCCCCCCCCCCACTATGGCTGGGTCTGGTTGAGTCATTGGTTGAGAGCATTTGGTAGCTGTAGGCCTTCCAGGTTGACACCTGATAGCCTTTGTCTTCAGCTATTTAAATAATACTTATTGATCTGGATTATTGTCTCAGATCATGCCTTGCACAAGAGTCCTTTCAACTGTTTTCCTGGCATATTCTTTGATGATCACAGGCTCTGTGAGTTGGGGTGTGTTCCTTTCTGTCTAGCCATGTAGTTGGGTCTAGCACATTTGTGGCTAAAGCTCTGTATCCGATAATGGATCTAAAAGGTCCCTAATCCTGCATGCATCTTCTCTAAGATGTGCTGCATTCAGTAGGACTTGCAGCCATGAATGAACATTCTTTGTGTCTAATATAGAATCTGGCCGTACCTGTGTGAAATGTACATTTTGGGAAGCCTTGACAGTAGCCTCACAAGTGATGGTTGGGGTGATTGCTACATTTTGGGTTAGATCTAGAGGCTGCTTGAATTGACTGGGCGGAGGGGGGCCTGCCTCCTTTCCTTTGTGGATAATTCAGAGAGGAGGGGGATCATGAGGTTCAGATGAAAATGGGGGATAAGGGTTAGGCATTTTCTTAAACCACCCCGTTATTTATTCTCCCATAATCTGAGGATGGTTGATATTTGACATACCAATCTGCCGATCAAGAAGCCTTGACAGCTATCAGTCACTGTTGCCCTGTCAAAAGGGGAGGTTTGACCTCTGCAGTCATGGGCATCATGATTGACCAGCCCTTCCGTTGCTGGCAGTAGATGTCTCAAAACAAGGAAGGCTTCCATTGTCCCTCTCGCCCATCGTCCTCCCACCCACTTAGAAAGGGAGAAAGCTGTAGCTCCATAGGGCATGAAGCAGCGGTGTTGGGATTCAGCAGGTTTACTGCTCTACAAAGGAGTAAGCAACAGCAGCGTGTGCGCACACACACACACACCCATCCACTTCAGAGATGCCGCCTCGGGCCTCAGAGCCTTGATCCCCCTTGTCTCATCTGGGAGCGTGAGCAAGAGGGAGGGGGGAGAGCCCATCTTTCCAGAAGGACACACAACCCTCTCTCTGAAAGATAAGGGCTGGCATCCACATGAAAGGCACCCACGCTTGCTTTTGATCGAGGCACAAAAATCCAGATCGTCTCCGTGCTCTGCCACCCGATCTTGGGATGCTTTGGGCTGGCCAAAAAAGGGCTTTCTCCGGTAGCCCAGAAAACCATTTCAGTTCCCTTTCCCCCCATCCCTGTTTTCTTTTTCTTTCTTTCCGATGGCTCCATTTGTTCACACACCAGAGGAGAGCCCTTCTGGGTGGGAAAAAAGGGGGGGGGGAAGCATCTGCTAAATGCAAATCCAGATTAATATCGGGGAGGGGGCGATGGTAAAGATAGTTACAGTGGCATGGATGGCCAACTTTTAAATTTTTATATATAAATTTACCAGTTGTTTTCCCACTCAAGAGTACTTCCTCCTGACAGCTGCAATTAGTGAACATGTTGACCTTTATTTATTTATTTATAAGAAATGGATAAAATCCTTATCTGGAATGCATTCTTGGGAACTGCTTTGCCCCCCCTTCCTATTGATGATTTTTCTTTTCTATTTTCTCTCCTCTCTTACACCTTTCCCACCCCCCCGCCACAGATTCTGTTGTACAAGATTTTTATGCCCAGACATTTAATAGGCCACATTAGAGGTCGGGAGGGGGGCAGGGGAAAACACCCAACGGGTTTGATAGCAACAAAGGCTTGTGGGGGGGGGGACAGAGGATGGATGGAGCTTGTGTTAGGTTGATCCCAGGCTTGAGTGGGTGGTTGAGTCCCATTGATTTTACAGCCTTGAGATTAAGACCTGTTGGATTGAGTGGAAGCTTTCTTTTGAGAAAAGGCAGATGAGATTGTAGTGTGTGTGTCATTCCTTTGCCGTAACAGCTGAACGTCAAATAACCTATAGGGAAAACATGCATTCCATTGGGATCTGCTTTCCCTTAATACTAAAAATAACTTCTTCAATTTTGACACTTTCCTGCTGTTTTCTCCCCTTTCCGCTCATTGATGGGGGCTTTGTCCTATTTTCTTCTCTCCTCTCTCCCGGATTTCAGGTGAGCTTGATGCTCAACGGGTGGCCAGTGATTTCTGCCTTTGCTGGAGACCAGGATGTGACCCGAGAAGCTGCCAGCAACGGAGTCCTGATCCAGATGGAGAAAGGAGACCGAGCTTATTTAAAACTGGAGCGAGGAAACTTAATGGGGGGCTGGAAATACTCCACCTTCTCTGGATTTCTAGTATTCCCTCTTTAAATAACTTGTCGGCTCAAGGAGGAGCAAAGGAGGAAAGTCTGAGATGTGTTTCGTGGCCCCCTGAACTGGATCGAAAGAGATTCGAACAGCAAACTTCTGGATAATGTCTACGTATGGCAGAAGTTAACCCCTTAACTTAGGTTTGTGTACATTGCTTGGAAGATCTCTAACAAGGCAGCAGCAGACAGAAGATACCTGGATCCGTCCTTCAGTAATATTCCATTTTTTTCCTTTGCAAATTGAATTAGTTGCCTCTCCATTTAACAGATTTATTATCTCCGCCTCTCCTACCTCGGTGCCATTCCCGTACCAAACACTGAGGACCCTTGTATGGTTTCTACTTTGCACTATCCGTTCACAACCCACCTGATTTTGTTTCTCACATTCTAGATATATTTTTAACTCTTTCCCTGAGTTTAACTTTTTTTTTAAAAAAAGCGTATTTTTGAATACATGGGCGCCATGGTGAAAGAGCTCAATGCAAACTGTGCTGTGTGCTAAGAAGCAAATGGGAAATATGAATATAAATATAAATATATATATATATATCTACACATTGACATGAACTATTATAGCCAAGTTCTCATTTTCACTATTTCTATGTAAATCTGAGTGATTGTGGAATTTAAAGGCTGCTTGATGTTTGAGGCTTTTTGGTTTTGTTTTGTTTTACAATTTGTTTTAAAATGGTTTTGTTTTAAAAATTTCTGCTGTCGTCCGTTGTGGCCCAACTTACATGCCGAGAAGTATTTGCAAATTAATCTGTAAGATAAGGTGTGAATATTGGCAGAGAATTCTGGGTTGAGTTTAATGATGTTTAAATTGGGTTTTTGGTTGAACCGATTTTTTTTTCCTTCTTAGAGGAAGCATAGGGTGTTGTTCAGGTGATCTGAATCTGGGAGGAGGGATTTGGAAAAAAAAAAAGAGAGAGGAAGAGTCAGATAAAACAAGGGGAATAAATATGTCATATCCAGAATTGTTTGATGCAGGTTCCCTTCTGTTCAGAAGGCGATTTGGGAAGGGTAGAGAACACAGCCTTCCAAAAGATGAGTATAAGACCAAACCTTTCCTTTAATGAACTGGAATCTTTCTCTTTGTTCTGCCCTTGATTGTTTTCTGTGCTGTTTTTCAAAACGGGAGGGGTGATGCTTCCGTCAGGAGGAACAGCCCTCTGATAAGACTGCCGGGTTGAACAACTTCTACAAGGAGGAGGTGAGATCCCCTCCCGAAGTTGCAGGAGAATGCTCTTCGTATTGGGAAGGGGTTTTTTAAACGGTTTTATGTATGGTCTTCGCTCCGTCCGATAGCATTTTTATACACCTGTCTAATTAAAACAGAACAAGAACAGAAAGTTGGGCAAGGGAATAGCTGCTAGTAGCATTATTTGCAAGTATTATTTTGTGTACAGCCTTTCAAATATGTAAATGCTATAATTTTGCAGCACTCTTTAAAAAAAAAGGACAGATACTTTTATTATCAAAGTACGGTTTAAAAAAAAATAACTTTTGATTGTAATCGAAACAATGTGAAATAAAACCAGTGGAAGAAACTAAAGGACTTCAGAAATGATCTGAAGTAGGCATGATTTTCTGTCCCTCCCTCATTGTTTTCGGGCAGGGAAGAAGACCGCTCCGATCTGCCATTTAATCGTGCACCTGTAAATCAAAATAACGGCTGGGTATAAACCGCCGATTTCTCAATTTGTAACCATAATGTGGACAGTGGCTGCTGTACGGTTAAAATTGGATGGCTTTTTCTCTCCTTTTCTGAACTGGGGTTCCAAGAAGAAATTTAATTAGCTCCTAGGGGGGCTGTTAATTTTAGCTTAATAAGCAATGTGTTGTTTTATGGTCAGTCCTGATTGTCGGGGAGGGGGCGGTGGTGAGCGTGTGTCCTTGTTAATAATTTCATACGGCAAATAGAGACTGCCATATTTTAAAAGCCTCGGGGAGGGTGGGAGGCAAGCGAAGAAGCAGGTGTGTTAGAGGTTGGTGGTCTGTCAAGGAAGACTTGAACACAAGGCTGATGGGCCCGAGACTGGCATGGAGTTGGCAGGAGTTTCTGCCTTTTGGTTCTGTAACAAACACAACAATGGAGCTCCACCCCCCCTTCTCCTTTAAATTTTACTTTTTCAATATGCCTCTGGCTGTGGAGCCAGAGGTTGGGAGTTCGATACCCCAGTGGGTCTCCTTGACAGGAGAGGCCTCCTTGAGGATCCCTTCCAGCTCTGCAGTTCTAAGGTGGTGATGATTAAGCACAGAGGTTTACATGTGTGTGTGTGGGGGTCACCTCTTTGTCCAATTCTGTGCTCACTTCCTGGGTTCAGCATTGGCTTTATGCTATCCACCCCGGACTTTGGCTGTAGATCTAAGATTTCAGCTGGCAGGGAGAAAATACAGCCTTGAAGTCACCCTGTTCCCCCCCTTCCTGATTTACTATCATGTGGAATAGAACTCCCGTCTAGCAATAGAGCTGGTCAGTTCCCATCAAAGGGAAGAAGTGGGATCAGGGTTCAAAGGGTATCCTGCCAGTCTTTAATACACAGATCTCGTCCTACTTTGGCAGATAAGCATGAGGGTTGGGCCTGGTTAGCATTTGGTTGGGAGATAGCTAGATACTATCAGAAATCTCCACATAGGGCTAGGAAATGACCTGGCCTGAAATATGGGGTGGGGTGGGTGGATAGGTGCATGCTGGAGTGCTGCGAGTCAGAGTTGAGTTTATTGGGTTTGATGAAGTCAATACAAGTTCCTTTGCTTCCAGCCGTCCTAATGGTGTCCTTCAGTGTATCTCGTTTTAAGCTCCTCTATGATGCCGGGTGTACACCTGACTCATGAGGTGCAGTTTCTTTGTAGGGTTGCTGTAGTGGCCACCTACATGAGATGCTTTCAAGACTCAGGAGAAGGGAAGTCAGATGGGGGACCGTCCTGAGCTTCAGATCATCGGCTGGCCTTTGCAGATTAGGGGAATCCTTGGTGGTGACACAATATCCAGAACTGCACTGGTGCCTTCTTTGCTAGCGTTGGGTGTACAGCTTTCTGGAGAGGAGAGGAAGAAGAAGTTATGGGAACAGAGGGGCTCAGAGGGGCATGTGGGTGAGCAGATGGAAAGGACAGGGGTGCAAAGTCAGGAAAAAGTGCAAAACATAATACAGGTGTTCCTCTATACATTTTCACATTGTTTTTGTGCAATTTGGGGGGTGGGGTGGGGCTAGGTGATAATGATCCTGTCACTATATTTAGTATAGGATGCAATGTTTTGTCTGGAATGTTCAAATCCTTTCCTTAGGGAATATTTTTAGAAGGGAGAGGGGCTTTTTGCCCTCCTCCAGAAGGCCAAATGGAATAGTTAAGAGAAAAATATTGCTTCTTAGGTCATCGCCTGAGTTCTGGATGGCGGGGTAGGAAAACGGTTTTGGTGGCACCCAAGAGGACCTGAATCCCCACCTCCCCCAAAAATAAGAGGGCGAGGGGCTTGGAGAAACAGACTGTCCCCACTTTACATGGGTATAGGTGCTGGATTCGACATCTGTTGCTATATTTTAAATGGAAATACAAGACTGACCTTAGCTACTCAAGTGTGCTTTGGTGTGGGTATGGATTGTACACCTCCTCCAGTAGAACACACCCTCAACCAGAGGGATTCTCAAAGAATCCCCTCTCTCGCGTCATAACCTGGAAATTATGCAGGTAAAGAAAACCAGTCTGGTAAACTTTTAAAGCAAACAACAGATTTCTTTCCTTCTAAGCTCTTTGTGGCTGGGCCTGGAGTACAATAGTTTGCTCCCTAAAAAGCCCCTTTTCTGGTCCTTTGTGTTCCTCTATAAAGCCAGTCCTTTGACAAGCCTCCAGGCAGAGAATTTAGCCGAAGGAGGATGGGGGCCACCCTGAGCTGGAAAGTTCCAGCCTCTGGAAACCTCTGGCCTTGCCACCAGCTGTTGAAGAGAGGACTGGCTTCAACTGGCAGAGGCAAAGAAAAGGATGGGCGGATTAGGAAACAGGGACTAAGGCGATTTTATTGCTGTCAGATAGACTTAAAGGAGAGGTGAGGTTCAGTGATTCCCTAGAAACAGATCCTGTGCCTTGAGCCACACAAATCTTTTTTCTTATCTCCTCTCTCTCTTCTCCCTCTATTTTTGAGAAAAATAGAACAGGAGGTTCAAGAGAAGGAAACAGCCCTCACACGGTGGTCCTAGTGTTTTAAAACTAGGAATTATGACCTTCCTCTTCCCATATCCCCCGACTGGTTTCTCTATTTATTTATTAAAAATATTTTTACCCCGCCTTTCTCCTAAAAAAAAGGACTCCAGGCGGCCAGCAGAAGACTTAGGAGGAAGAAATTGTTTCCTTATAATGGGTCCCCCCCCCCCACAAAACACACACACACACAAGCTTTCCGAGACCACTCTTTCGGACTTCGTTTAGAAAACGCAGCTGGCGAACGGTTTAAGAGCCCGCGCACGCCTCCGGTCTACACCGCAAAAGGTGACGTGGGTTTTAAACAAAGCTAAAAAGAAAAGTTTCTGTTCCGACTACAGCTCCCAGATTCCGCAGCCAGCATGCTGGGACTTGTGGCAGCCCCCTTCCCCGAAACCTTGCCTAGCGCTTTCCACCAAAACTTAGGCGGAATAAAGTTTGGGAAGCTTTCGGGTGCTACAGGAGTGTTCGCTGGTTTCCTTGGAACAGAGCGACGGGGCAATTTTTCCCTCTCTCGAAACCGGGTACAGGATGAGCCTGAGGTTGTAATCCTGCACCCTCTTATAGGAGAGCATACCTATTTCAGGACCGTAGCGGAACTATTTTAGGAATTCGGTCCCTGGAGTTAAACAAGTTCATTCCATACGTTCAAAGCTACCTATATTTGCACAAAAACAAAGCGCTCATTTCTGAAGGGGAAACAGAGGCGTTGAAATGGCTCAAGTGTGTTCAGCGCATACCCATTGAAATCAATGGGACTTACATCAGCTGCTGCTTTCGATAGGTGTAAGTAAGACCTCATCCGGTCCTAATCCATTTTATTTTCTCTTTTAGGAAGCGTGCGTTCAAATGGTGGGAAGTCTGCTCTCTCATCCCGCCCCTCTTCTTTATTTAATTTATATGTTTAAAATATTTTTACCCCGTCTTTCTCCTTAAAAGGACCCCAGGCGGGTTTGTGAAATGCTTTCTTTGTAAAATACTTTATTTTAAGTCGTGCGTTCTTGTTTTTCAAAGTCAGCTGCTTTCATGGAAGCGTTTGTTTTAATCAACTGCTCTTTAAATATATGGATCTAATTAATTAAGTGACGGAAACGATCCGCTTATGCTTCAAGTTCCAATGAAGAACTGAAAAGTTACAACAACCGGAGTTAATCTGGAGTAAATTCACTTTAATAAACACGAATAGTCCAGATTCCTTCTGCCTGATTGATTGATTGTTTCCTTCCTGGAAGTAAACCCCATTTACAACCTCTGGATCTTACCTTCGAGTAAACCCGCCTGGAATAGAATCCTGGGGCCAATTCTTAACAGACCCTTATGTTCCGACTCCGCATGCATGGAGAAATTGTGGTGTAAATGCTCCTGAAAACATTTCAGGTATGTAGTTTGCCCCCTGAAGTCTTGGGTCTTCTTTCTGCTATCATTCCCTCTTTCCGTGAAACCTCGTTGAGTTTTATATTAAAGCAATTTTTTACCTTTGCCCCCCGGTTGACCCCATTTATGTCTCGCCTGCGCGTAAATTACGCCCCGTTATTTATAGCCGCCCCGCCGCTACGCGCTCGCCACCCACCGCAGCTATGCAGGAAAACGCGGAACGGCGGACATCCTGGAGGAACGTACGTTATTTCCTCGGAGCCCTACAACGTTCCATGTGGTTTCCTCTGGACTAGGCCCCCGCCGTTCCAAGCCAAGGGGAGTCAATACTGGGAAACTCCACCGAAAACGACCGAGGCTGAGTTGGGAACGACTCTCGTTCTCGTTACTTTCTTTGAAAAGGGGAAGTCGTGAAAGGCAACAGAAATCCGGCGCTTGGAAGCGCAAGGGGTGTAAAGAAAACCTGGAAGCAATTTTTAAAGGGTTGACCTGAAATTGACTTCTAGTGGTGGGGAAATTGACCTGCCCTGTCAGAACTGGCAAAAGCATCTTTTGGGCCCTCAAAGCGGGAAAGTAAGAAGGGGACACCCCTCTGTCGAAGAGATGAGGAAAAGATTTTAAATAAGGACAGACACAGGAAAGGGGATGGCCTTCACAATATTTAGAAGTTGGAAACATCTCTGATGCTTTTCCAAGCAGCTCCTTACTTATTAAGGGGGAAGGAAAAGGGCTGTGGTAGCGAAAGTGAGAGGCGGTCCATGATTTCGGAAAGGAAGTACCCTAAAACAGTGGTCCTCAACCTTGGCCCTCCAGATGTTCTTGGACTTCAACTCCCAGAAATCCTGGCCAGCAGAGGTGGTGGTGAAAGCTTCTGGGAGTTGTAGTCCAAAAACATCTGGACGCCCAACATTGGGGACCACTGCCCTAAGAGGTTGGTATGAGCACCCCTTTGCTCCACTTTCTAAAGCTTAAGCAGAAGCCTCTCCCTGTTCTACCTGGGGACACCAAAGAGACT